GCTGATCCGAAATAAAGATCCACCTTTGACAATCTATGCCTCCAATATCATCAAGCAGCTGTGTCAAAAACCACATCCATGTGTCTTTGCATTCTGTTTCTACCACAGCAAAAGCTAGTGGGAAATACTGGTCATTAGGGTCTCTTCCTACTGCAACTAACAACTGACCTCCATAACTTGTCTTCAAGTGACAACCATCTACACCAATAAATGGTCTGCAACTACCTAAAAACCCCTGCTTACAGCCCTCCAAACACATGTAAAATGACCCAAATCTTGGTTGCAGGGTGGGTTCGGGTTGATTCACCTTAATCTTGAAGGTCCCAACCTTCACTCTTAATAACTCAGCCACATAGTCAACCAGACGAGCATATTTTCGTTCTCCATCACCCATTAAACAATCCATTGCAATTCTCTTAGCTCTTCCAGCCTTCCAATGACTTATTCCAACACTATATGACTTTTGTATTTCATCTATGATTTGTTTCACTGTCATGCATGCAACATTGACAAATCTGGCAACCAAAACCTGTGAAATCCATTCTACATTTGCACTTTTGCTACCAAAACCCCTTCCACACTTGTGCCGAACTAGAGTTTTGACTCTAAAGGTTTGCCTACTTCCTACCTTGCTAGCCATAATAACAAAACCACACCCCTTCTTACAAACTACCCTTACCCTCTTCAAATAATTCTTCACAAACTTAACTTCTTTTCCATTCAAAACGCTATGCTCCTGTACGACACTCTTAAAATCCTTCAAACACTTAAACTCCATTCCCAATCTAAATTTGAATCCCTTAATCATATCTTCTGCTTTATACTTTGGAAAGTGCCTTTTATTGTCCCTCACATCCTCATCACTATCTACATTTGAGGACAACTCTTCTGTATCATAAACTTCATTTATCTCATACTCTCCAACTTCTTCGTTAATGACAAATGCCCCCTCACTATCTACAAATTTGCTCCTAACACTTGTATTTTTGTTTTTCATTCTCTTCCACCTATCCAAAACTGGATTAATATTTCTTCTCTCTTCCTCCACCGTGACATTGTCCATCCCAAACCCATCATCACCATTTGCCATTCTCTCCTCTTCACTGTCATCAACATTTTGCACCCCTTCATCCTCAAGAACATTGCCCTCTTCATCTTCTTCTTCATCTTCTTCTTCATCTTGCTCTTCATCTTCTTCTTCACCTTCTTCTTCATCTCCCTCAACATTCCCCT